TGTTCGCTCGCTTCACGTGATATAATCTTTATCCAATAATATATGAGATATTTATAATCCAATAATAAAATATTATGCCGAAAAGGTCATTATACAACAATATATAATGTTCATATATAATATTCATATATAGATTATAACTATCTCATATTGGTGTTGTAAAAAGCAAAATGCACATTACTTAAGCATATCATAAAATGCAAAATATGTATCATTCTCAGGATGGTTATAATTCATACTAAGTAATATAATTATAATCTATACAGATCATAACTATACCACTAATATTAAGACTAAAAAATAATTAATTAATATATTAATTAATTAATATATTAGTAAATTATTAGTAATTATTCAAAATTAATATTTTAAATAATTATTGAAATTTACCAAACTGATCAATTTACTAACTAATTAATAATAGCTTTTTACTAAATTGTTTAGAATTTTATTATTATATCAAAAGCTAATTGAATAAATAAAGTAATAATTTGTTGATTTATTAGTTTAAAGATTTTTTTGTAATAGTAAATTTTTTATATCTTAAAAACTTTATCCAAATTTTATATTATATTTATTTTTTATTCAAATATATAACTCTTTTTATAAAGAAATTAGTTAATTATAAAAATTTAATATTTTATATTTAATTATTAAATTTAAAAAAATATTATTAATTAAGTTTTATAATTTAAACATTAATAAATAAAATATTTAATTGAAAATTTATCAAGTTATTTATATATTATTAAATTTAATTTTCAAATAATAATAATAATTTAATACAAAATAATTTTCAGCAATTATATTTAATATTAAAATAATAATATATATAACCAATAATATATTATAATCAAGTATCTTTATATAATATATATTTATTATATTTAATCTATTATTAATAATATTATAAAATTATTTGAATAAAACAAATATTATTTAGTTGCTAAATAATTATATTAATTCTTATTATATTGAAATAATATTATAAAATTTAATAAAAAATTGAATTATTACAATAATTTATATATAAATTTATTTATTAATATATAAATATTAATTCATATTTTATTTTATATAAATACTTTAAAAAAATTTTAATTATAATTATAAAAGTATTAATTACAAATCAATAATTTTGTTCAGATATTGAATAATTTAAAGCAGTCTTTTATCAACCAAAATAATGATCACAATTTATAAGTTATTTTTTTTATAGTAATCAATTTTATTGCAATTTACAATAAAAAATAAAAGAATTTAATACTGATTTATATTTACTTTCATCTTTTATTATAATAAATATTTAAATTAATTTATTGTATTTTTAATAATATAATAATATTTATTGGATAAATTTTTGGCTTTTAATATTTACAAAAAAATTATTTGGTATTAAGCTCTTATTATTTGGAAAAACAATAGTGAAAATAGAACTAATATAAATATTTTAAAAGCACAAATAGATTTTTGAATTATTATTTTGTGAAAATAGTAAATATCAATAGAATATATGTAACTTATTATGAGATAAATTATATATTAATAATAATTTATTTATTCAAGAACTCAATAATATATTTATTTGTTATGAAAAGTAATGCTAATATATTTGATCAAGATATAAATTTTGATTTTAATTTTGATAATAATAATGATAGAAAGTCAAAATTTTTTAATTAGTGAATTGATAGATATTACTACAGATTTAAATGAAAATAGTAATATTCATTCAGTAGTAGTAATGATTGTGGGAATCGTGGTGATAAAGATTTTAATATTGATGATTTGATAAGAATTTTATGAAAATATATCTATGACATAAAAAATAATTTTTTAATTAGTAATTTTTCATAATAACTACGTATTCAATAAAATTTGTTTTTTTTCTATTTGTTTGTTTATTTGTCCATTTGTTCATTTGTCCATTGGTCCATTTGTCCATTTGTTCATTTGTCCATTGGTCCATTTGTCCATTTTGTCCGCTATATTTTGTTTATTTTTTTGCCATTTTGTCCATTAATATTGACTTTGGATTTTTTCCATTTTGGATTTTATTTGTGTGACCATTTATTTCAGCCATTTTATCCGCAACTAACACGTACTACATGTATTTGCCGAACATCACTCATGAGTTAATGCATCAACATTCGACATGAATGATTCGTGTCCAGGGCTAAATGTATGATGTACTGTGTAGTCACGTTTAATTACGATATCACTACGTAACACTGCTTATACAAGAGTGGCATCGTAGATGTTATAAAAGGAAATACATGTAAAAAAAAAATCGAATATCGATATTGGATTTTCGTCTTGAAAAAAATCAGTTAATAATCAATTTATTATTTCCCTCGTAACTTCATCCAATCAAAATGTCAAGAAGTGCCACCGCCAACAACTCCAACAATGGTGTATTAGAATTTGGTGCCTCTTCTATAAACCAAGTAAAACAATACATTGACAACAACAAAGTATTGAACCTTGATTACGAAATCGATCATTCGCGATTATTTGAGTGTGCTGCAGAAATTGCAGTAACTGTTTATCCAGAATGGAATAAAAATGATTTGGAATGTTCTCAATTTACTGATGGTCTAACTAATAAATGTAAGATTTGGGAAATTATCATTAACGTTATATTTACTTTGCCATTGAAATTCAATTTCTAAGTGATAAGATGTAAAAACAAGAAAGAAAATTTCATACTTCTTATTCGTACCTATGGAACTATGACTGAGATGTTTTTGAATCGGGAGCAAGAAATTCAGGTAAAATTCTAATTAAATTTTTCACAATTTCCGTCTAATCCCAACACATATTTTAAACTTTATATAAATAGAATATTATTTCACTTTCGCACTTTGGCTTCGCTGCTCCAATATACGCGAGATTCAAAAATGGAATTGCATATGGTTATGTTCACGGCCGACCATTAACTCTCGAAGATTGTCAAAATCCAGAAATTTATGGGCTGATTGCGAAGAAAATAGCCGAATTGCATCGTATTGATGTTGCTGGTTCCCAAAAACCTCTTGTGTTTCTTACTATTCATGATTGGATTAGTAAAGGTGTGAAAGTGAAATCAGAATAGAAAAATGACGTGGAAAGATTGTTTATAAGGATATGTATGTTTCTTATTTCGATGAAGTATTTATGATTTTAAATCTCTTAAAAATAGTTCCGCCGCGGTATAGAAATGCAAAATTTCAAGCACAATTTGAAAAAGATATTAATTGGCCGCAGTTAGTAAAAGACGTATGTACTTGAAATGATATTAAATTTACCAAGTCGATTTAAATTGGCCAATACTAAATACGTAATTGAATCCCTAGATTAATCATTTGGAGCAACAAATTTTGAAGCTCAATGCGCCCGTAAAGTTTTGTCACAACGATTTATTATCTTTAAATATAATTTACAATGAAGACGAGAAAAGAGTTTCATTTATTGATTGGGAGTACGGGTGTTATGGGTACCGAAGCCTGGATATTGCGCTGCATTTTATCAACTTTGCAGGTAAATTAAATGAGTTTTGATAGATATTATTTATATTTATTAATGTTTTGCAAAAAAAATATAGGGTTCGAAGCTTCTTGGCATCAATGCCCGAAAAAAGACTATCAGATTAAATGGCTTCGGCACTATCTTCTGGCATATAATTCAGGTAATTACAAAATGTTGAGTGTTTTAAAGTTGTAAAGTTTTTATAATTTTCAATTTATAGGAACCGAAATAACAGATTACGATGTCGAGCTTCTTTACCGAGAAGTCACAAAGTTTGGGCTAGTCGGTCTTATTCATATTGGATTATGGGCTTTAGTAAGTATCGCTTGCTCCCTTTGTCTGATCGAACCGAACTATCCCAAAAATTAATTATATTTCTTTTTTCTGGTACTTTAAATAGCTTCAAGCTAATTTATCTGATCTCGATTTCGATTTTATGGGTTATGCTGTTGAATTGTTTAATGAATTTTATCGTCGTCGTGATCACGAACAAATCTTGAAGCTTTAATTTTGAATATCGTTATTATATATTTATTGGGGATATTCTCGATTCGTGTGTTTTCTAGAATTTAAATTATTATAAAAAACAACTTTTCATTAAATTATAATTTTCGTTATCATACGACAAAATTCTTTAATTTAATCCTAAAGAAATCAATAATAATTTACGCGCTCGTTATTGAGTGATAAATTTTGTCTCGTCTTATCGTTCGATGGTTTTTTCGTTTTCGTCGAGAAGGAGGAAAATATGGGGTTTTCATTTTGGAGTATACGCATTGTTGTACACGGGACATGTTCAATCTCAACATAGGCTAGCACTAACGTCTCTTGACAAGTGTGATGTGCCGGGGATTAATACTAATAAATGCGCGGACATCAAAGTTTCGGCTTGTCCGTGTCCATGTCCCCGTCACATGACAACACTGGGCATACATATGCAATCGGATAAACTACTTCATTAAACCATTCCATTTCATTTTATTGTTGTAGATAGCGATAGGATCCTGTATACTCTAAATACACATATGCGCAAACACAAAGAAGTTGATAACAATAGAAACTGCTTTTGGTTTGGTCGTTGTGCTTTAACTCAAAACACAGTTCAATTATTTTCATCAGGATCATGTTTGAAGGCTCTATCAGATTGAATTTGTATTGTTATGTTATAGCGATAGTTACATGTATCATTTTCTTCATGAATTTTTAGATTTTCTTGAAACTTATCGTTATCGCTATCGCTATCCTTTTTAATTTCATCCAAATCGGTAATTTCAAATGGTGTAAATTGATTTGTTTTTATTTATATTATTGGAATGTTTTTTGCAATTTATCTCTTCAAGTTTATCTAATTTCTATCTTAAGCTCTATCCTTTAAAGAGCTGTAGTACTGAAATGCAAATTATTCAATTTGTTTTAGCCTTTTGGATACCAGATAGTTAATAAAGTCTTCAAGTCTCTTAGCAGTTGATCTGTTTCCCCAACATTTTTTGATAATAACATAATAATAAATTTGCACCATCCAAACCGTTATTTGTACCATCTAATATGAGATCTCTATCTCACCTGTTACAATTTCGTACAGACAATATCACTATAAATTTACGTAGCTTTCTATCTGCTGGGCCAGTAACGGTAAGTCCAAAATTTGCAATAATATCGATACGTATATACTGATACGTATTTTCTGCGAGAATTTGTATAGATCGCCATGTGATTATGTTATAAAAATTGTTAATTTCATAATTTGTAATATTTTACGAAATTATGAAAATCATGTAAAGAACTTAGGATGTTTCACAATTTCATCATATATTATATTCATATACTTTTATTTTTTTACCTTATATTCTTATACTTTTTATATTTTTATTTTTCTACTTTGTACTCTTATACTTTTTATACTTTTTATACTTTTATATATTTATACTTTTTATACTTTTTATAATCCTATACTTTTTCTATTTTGTACTCTTATACTTTTATACTTTTATATATTTATACTTTTTATACTTATTTATTCTGAGTAAACATAATTTAACCAATCAAAATTCTTTGAGATTTATACTTTTCTCCTTTGTTTCTCTACTTTCCATATTTAGGGCTCATCTAAAGCGGGGGCAGATCACGTGAGTTAATAGTGATTGGTTAGAACATATGAACGATGATTGGCCAGAAAATATAGTGTGACAATATAATTAATAAGAGTTTTATTTATCATATGATAAATTTTTTAATATAATATCGATATATCATATTTAATAGTTTTTAAGGCTCGGTAACGGTGAAGGGAAGT